AAAACTGATTATTCAGTGGATCCGGATCCGGATCCGGATATCTTAAAAATTCCGGATATCCGGCTCCGTTCCAGGCCTAGTGGAAGCAGCAAGTATTATGTCATTTTCAAACGAATTAAAAGTCGGTTTAGTTATCAAACCAAATTTACAATTGGAAGGGGGTTTAGAATCATAATTTGAATCTTTTCACGGTGGTGGGGGTTTAGAACCCTCATTTTGAATCTACCTAGTTCGTCTTCTTCTAATTTATCTCCTGTCAGATTCTGATATTTTTATCTCTGAGCTCAATTTACAAATTCATATTCCGGTTTACAAAATAAAAACAAGCCAGTGGTCAAATGTCTTTGGTCTTTAAGCATTTTGCTTTCAGATGTATAAAGAAGGGATTTGTTTCTTCCTCCAGGCTCCATAGATATCTTATCCAAAGCTACTGTGATAGATACTTTCTTCAACCTCTCTGTTTACTCTCTCTCTCTCTCTCTCTCAGTCTCTAGTCAAAGCCAGTGGTCCTCTCCTCGGCGGCTATAACAACAAAAGAAAACAAACTTTTGAAACAAGCCAGTAGTTTCCACTACAGTTCTCATACAAATTCCTTTGAATTTTCCTCTCCTCTTTACCCGTTTGGCTTATATATATGAACTAAGAAAGCTTGTTTCCTCAAACCACTGCTATACTTTCTTCAAACTCTCTTTTGCTCTATCTCTCTCATGGCTTCTTCTTCTCCTCCTTCTCCTTGTGCTTATATTAAGAGATACGATGTCTTTCCAAGCTTCAACGGGCCAGATGTTCGTAAAGGACTCCTCAGTCATTTACACGATCACTTTTTAAGGAAGGAAATCAAAATGTACAAGGATGATAAGATGGAGAGATGCCAACGATCAAACGTGAACTCGTGAAAGCGATTAGAGAATCGAGGGTCTTGATGGTTTTGCTCTCGAAAAACTACGCTTCTTCGAGCTGGTGTTTGGACGAACTGGTGGAAATCTTGAAGTGCAGAAAAGATAAGGAACAGATTGTGATGCCTATTTTCTACGACCTTGATCCGTTCCATGTACGCACACAGAGCGGTGACTTCGGAAGCGCGTTCGAGAAAACCTGCGAAAACCAAACAGAGGAAGTGAAGCAGAGATGGGTCGAAGCTTTGAAATGTGTAACGACCATAGCTGGAGAACATTCTCGTAACTGGTTTGTTTTAACCTGCATAACTTCTTTCGTGATTCAACCATAGCTGGAGTTTCTATAATTTATTAAGATTTTGTTTTTTTTTTCAGGACTGATGATGCTGAGATGGTCCAAAAGCTTTGCACAGAAGTCTCGAACAAACTGAAAGTGGAAGAGTCTAAGGAAGAATTTAGGAAGTACGATGTAGACAATAATGGTTTCATAACTGCAGCAGAGCTTCCACGATGTGTGTTGATAAAAGATGGAGAAGAATCTACTGATAAGCAAGTTCGTAGTATCATCCGAGTAGTTGATATTGATGGCGATGGTCAGATCAACTTTGATGAATTTGTCGAACTCATGGCTCTTAGGTAAGGGATTCTTGAAAGCCTTAACCTCAAAGAAACAAAAAGAAAAACGATTTATGATGTCTTACAGTGAAATCTTATCATATGATTTAGAACGCTTTTGTCTCTCTTAATCAATGATTCAATAGTGGAGTTTCTATAGTCTAATAACATTCTGTTTTTTTTTTTTTTTTCTTAGGATGACTGATAAGAAGCTTTACACGGACCAAGTGAAAGCGGAAATGATGAAGGAAGGCTTTAGGGAATGCGATGTAGACCAGAATGGTTACATAACTGCACCAGAGCTTCGATATGTGCTGACAAAAGATGGGGAGGAATTTACCGATAAGCAAGTTCGTAAGATCATCCGAAAAGCTGATGTTAATGGCGGTGATCAGCTCAACTGTGATGAATTCTTCAAATTCATGAATCTCATGATGGATGCGTAAGGGATTCTTAAGCCTTAACCTCATGGATAAAAAAAAAGGATTTATGAATTATGATGTCTTACAGTGAAAATATTTTAACGCCTTTTTGTTTCTTAATCTAATCTATAAGATTCTGTTTTTTTTTTCTTTTGTTAGAAAGAGGATGACTGATGAAAGAGCTGCGAGAGTCGAAAAGATTGCCTCATATGTATCGAACAAACTGGATAAATTCGCCATATATATTCATGATAAAAGCCTTCTCCTGAAGAAGAAAAGAAAAACGATTTATGAATGTCTTACAGTGTGAATTTTCATCATGATATGATCCTGATTGTCTTCTTTAGGACATGTTTTTTTTACTTCTTTCCACCTTCGATTTGGTTGCTTTGTTAATCTCTTTAATTAGTGTTATGTCAAGTATGATGAACTCATGTTTTGCTCCTCCTAGTGACAATTGATTTTATCTCTTTTTTTTGTTTTTCCTATTTAGATATGAGAGATTGTATTGGGATATTCATATGCTCAAAGTTTAATTCCTAGAGCTACTCTGCAAGAGCACAGATGTGCAATTGTAGTATAATAGGGGTAGAACCACAGAGACAAGAGATTCGCTCAATAAACCTATTAGAAATTGAATTACGCTAAGCAGATTAATGAGAAGCAAATAGCAATGCAAATAAAGATAAACGAATGCAGTAAAAACGTTTGTAAAGTTCAGATGGATGGAGATTAGGCTTAGGGCGTTTCTCATGAAATCAATGCATGCAGATCAATCGATAAATCAGGGTTCAGGTTTAAGCATGGTTCTTGAACTCGAATCACAGAATTATAATTAACCAACTTCCATTGTGAGAATTATCTAAGTTAAAATCCTAGAATTCCAAATTCCTTTGCAAACCCTAAAGATTTAAACCAGCTTTAATGCTCAAGTTCGATATGTTCACAAAGTATCTAAACCAAATTCCTTTGCGAATAGCTACTTTGCTCACCCTAGGTTCTTTCCAGTTACTCAATTACACTTCCGTGTCAATCAATTAACCTAAGATTTAAGTTCTAGGTGGCCAGTCCAGAATTAGCTTTAAGAACAACCTATGGTGAAGAACTAAATAGATTATGAACCCTAATTAATCAATCAATCCAACATCCAATGAAATCCTTTATGAGAACCCTAAACCTAACAAGCAAACTACTCAGACATGGAGATTGAAGCAATAAACATGATTGAATAGCTTGCAGAAAAGAAATAATAGATAAATAAACAGGGGTTCGAAATCTTCTCTATCCCCAAAAGCTCTCAAAAACAAAAGTTCTCTCTCAGAAAATCTAAGGTAATCGTAAAAAGGGAATAAAAACCCTATATATATCTCTAAGACACGTTTTGGGCTTCCTTGGAAACGTTTAGGCCCAACTCCTTCTTCAAATAGGAAACAAAATCGCCTTTTCCTTATTTTTTGACAAGTGTCGCGCGTCACTCTCCATGGTGTCGAGCGTCACTAAAGAACAAAATCCATTCTTGACGAATTTGATCCTGATTAAGCTCCAAAGTGCTCCAAAGTCTCCAGTTAAGCTCCAAACGTACCTATGACCTGAAAAGATCCCAAAAGACTCGAAAGACACTAAAAAGACTCTATAAATAAGACATATACCATGGTCAAAAACCATAAAAACCATGATATATCAACTCCCCCAGACTTAGCATTTGCTTGCCCTCAAGCAAACATAACACCAAACAAGAGAAAGAAGTTTGAAAACACAGAGACTCAACCTTTCATTGGAACATCGCCCTTGACCAATTGCCTGCAACTCAACTACTGCTTCATCATTCCAAATCGAACCACCATGTACTTCTCCGTAGACATTCTCAGCATTCCAGATTAAGTCCAAAATTCCACAACATTGTCCATAAACTCTCATCGCTGGATCTCACTGATGATTTAGATGCCAAGAACCTTCTAGATTCTTTCCCGTACTATACTCAAGCAAATCATCCATACACACTTTGGTACTTTTCTCTCCCCCAGACTTATTCTTTTCGCACACTCATCATCATTTTTTTATGGCATATACTCGATAAGGGTAAAGCTGCGAGTACTGATGGTGTTTGCCATCGAGTCCCCGAGTTGTCCCCTTATCTTGTATCAAAGGTTTTCAGCGAATAGTGGGGTCATGGGAAACATTCCTACCCCTCACTTCCTTCCTTTGTGTGATCATTCCAACTTAGAAGTGAAATAATGGGATCATTGGAAACATTCCTAGCCTTTTTTCTTTCTTTCTTCTTTTTCCTAGCTCGTCACAAGGGAGAGAAATACCAACATTAAATTTTACACAGGCTTTCATTGATCAAGTATGAACGAGGAATCAAGCTCTGAGGCATTAGTCACATCAACGAGTTAAAAGTGAAGTTTAGAACTTAGTTCAGGTTAGTGGATTCTGTTGGAAACATGGACGCCTCTAGTCAGCTGGTCAGCCTTTGGATTTTTCATTAGTCGGATCTAGACTGAATCTGCAGCAGTGGTCACTTAGGTGAAAGGTCAGCACAATAATTTCAGGAAAAGCATCATGATCTCCAACAGGTTTTGACTCAAAAACGTTTTGACACAACTGACTCTTAAGAAAAACAAACACAATGTCAGCAACTACCTCCCCCAGACTTGAATAACACTGTCCCCAGTGTTATCGAGTCCGAAGTTGGTGAAACAAAAAAAAGAAACAGAGAAACACAAGAAAAACGAAGAACTTACCTGGCTGCAGTGATGGTGACGCGCGACACTGATGATGGTGTCGTGCGACACTTGTTCTCCTCGTACCGAATTGCAGCAAACCAATCTGAATTTCTGGTTTGACTCCGGTTGCCCGATTTCCTTTTTTTTTTTTTTTTTTTTTGATGAATAGCAAGTGACAGGCGACACCGAAGGTGGTGTCGCTCGACACCAGTCCTGTTTCACCTAAAACACGAAAAAGAAAAACGAAAATCAACTGAAACAAAAGGCTTATTTACAGACTCACCAGTGGATTGCCTTCCACCAAGCGCTTGTTTTAAGTCATTAGCTTGACTATGGATAGACTATGCATCTGGTGGATCAGACAGTGGCAAAGAGTGCCTCTGTGAAATTCGTCTCATCCATGGTGGTGTGTAAGCGTTTTGCGCATGAGGTCGTCCAAGGAATGCAGGAATAACACCAGGGTGAGATCTGTGTTTGGGTGACCTTGACCTATTCTTTGGTGGAGATGAATAGAACGTGATGTTGTGAGCTTCCTGTGCATTAGCAGCTACTGGTTCTGTAGACGTCTTAGTCAACTCAGGTTGATCTTTCACCTTCTCAGCATCAAACACGTTCTGATCTCCCACTATCACTTCAGGTATTGCACTGACTTGGAATGTCTGACCATCTATGGTTGAATCCTTTAGCTTCTCCATCTTGAAAGACATGATGGTATCTCCTAGGTGGAGATCAAGGTTACCATGCTTGACATCAATTACTGCTCCAGCTGTAGCTAAAAACGATCTTCCCAGGATAAGAGGATCTTTGGGTTCCTCTTCATATTCCAGAACCACGAAATCTGTAGGAATTATGCAATCACCAACTTTAATCGGAACATCCTCCAAGACACCTTTTGGGATTCTTTTAGATCGATCTGCTAGGATTAGAGAGATATTAGTTGGCTTGAAGTCAGTCATCCCAAGGCTAACAGCTACATAGTAAGGCATTAGGTTGACACTCGAACCAAGATCACACAGCGATCTCTTGAACCTCTCAGAGAAGATAGAGCAGTCCAAAACAAAGCTTCCTGGGTCCGAGAGTTTCTCTGGAATCTTATTCTGAATCACAGCACTGACCTGTTCAGAAATCATCATCACTCCTTCCTCATGACTCAGATTATTAGTCACCATTCTCTTCACATAGTGTCTGAGAGTAGGAGCAATCTTCACAGCATCAACCAAAGGAATCTCAATAACAAGTTTCTCCATCAAAGTCTTGCATCTGGCATCATCTATCTCCTGCTTGGACTTCCTAGGACTCCTTGGGTAAGGAACCTTAGGTTTGTAAACCTTTTCCTCAGCAGATTTCGAACTTTGAGCAATATCAGCTTTGCTCTGCAATTGGTGACGCGCGACACTGGTTGTGGTGTCGCTCGACACCGGCTCTGCAGTTTCGAAATTTTCTTCAGATTCGTCAAACTCCACGATTTCATCCTCAGAAACACCCTTTTTAAGCACTTGAGTCAACTTTTTACCACTCCTTAACGAGATAGCACTGCAGTAATGCCTAGGATTGATATCAGTCTTCCCAGTAAGGAATCCTTCTTGCCTTTTTACAGACTCTGCAGTCTGAGCAACCTGAGTATCAAGCTTCTTGACATGAGTGTTCAGAACTTCAATTTTTCTATTCAGATCCAGATACAGAGCATCAATCTTCCCATTGAAATCCACAGTCATCTTCTGCTGACCTTCCAGTATCTGTTCCAGCATAGACTTCACCTCATTATCAGGAGTTTGAGTAGGAGGAGAACCATAGTTCCTTGAAAACCTGTTGTTGGAGTAGGATGTCTGGTACTGAGGTTTGGAGCTGTAACCAGAAGAGTTCTGATTACCTGTGAAGGTACTCCTCTGATTATTTCCATTGTGATTCGTGTTCCCTTGCCCAGAACCAAATCTCTGACCCCGAAATCCAGCTCCATTGATAAAGTTAACATCCTCTTCCTCAAGTGCTTCATCTGGTTCGAAATTCTTAACCTCTGCAGCGTATCGAACGGACTTCTTACCCACTAGAAGGCTATGCACAGAGTCAAGCTTAGCCTTCACCTCAGCAATCTGCGATCCATCCATGTTTCTAGCCTGCTTCCTTCGCTGATAGTCTGCATTCTTGGTTCTAGAATGATAAATCGATTATGAATTTAGAACACAAAGTTTAAGAATAACTCTCTTATTGCTTTAGAAAACTGACTCAAAAACTAAAGCTCTCAAACTCTGATAAGTGAAACCACAACTTTGGTAACTCCTTATATAGAGAAAGATTTAGACAACTTCCTAAACCTAATGGAATTTAGATTACTCCTAATTTCCTTTTCTCTTTAATCCTAACTCTTATAGGAAACTTTACTTAAGAAGATTCTGGAAGCTTGCTCTTCAAGCTTACTCCAACATTGGTACTATTGCTAGATGCCAAGTTCTCAATGAGCACAACAGCATCTTCTGGGTACCTGGTGTTGAAGTTCCCATTGCTTGCAGCATCAAGAGCCATCTGATATCTCCAATCAACACCTCTGAAGAAAATACCCAACAGCTGAACATCACTGAAACCATGATGAGGGCAATCTCGCTGGTACGACTTGAATCTCACCCAAGCAGCTTTGAACGCTTCAGTTGGTTCCTGAGAAAAAGTCGAAATTTTCGTCCTCAACTCCTCAGATCTAGCATCATCGAAGAAGTTGTGCAGGAAAGCATTCCTGGTCTCTTCCCAAATAGTGAGTGATCCTGGCTCCAACTGCTTCAACCAGTTAGCTGCTTCTCCAGCAAGAGAGTAAGGAAACAGCTTGCAGAGGAGGAAATCATTGGACACTCCATTGTATTTGATGCTGGTGACCAAGTCCTCAAACCTCTCGATGTGATCCATAGGGTGCTCATGAGAAAGACCATGGAAAGGATGCTGACCCACAAGAGTGTAATACACAGGCTTGAGCTCAAAATCATTCCTCTGAAACGCAGGAGCGCGAATCGCAGACCGATTTGCATAGAATTGCTCAGGCCTGTTGTAGTCACCCAGCGTCCTGATGATGTTACCCTGTCCATCAAGTCGCTGGCCTCTCTCATTGCACACATGACCCTCTTGGTCTCTCCAGACTCCAGCATCATCACGAATCAATGCCAATGCGTTCTCCATCTTTGCTAGTTTCTGAGACAAAGAGAAAGAACAATGTAAGTAACAAAGCAAAAATAAAATAAAGAAAAACAACGGGTGTCGCGCGACACCAATGCTGGTGTCGCTCGACACTAAGAAAAACTTAGTCGAAACTCAAGAACTAAAGTTTAATGGCGAAAATCAAGTCTCGGGCAACGGCGCCAAAACTTGATCTGCTCAAAGTTTAATCCTTAGAGCTACTCTGCAAGAGCACAAATGTGCAATTGTAGTATAATAGGGGTCGAACCACAGAGACGAGAGATTCGCTCAATAAACCTATTAGAAATTGAATTACGCTAAGCAGATTAATGAGAAGCAAATAGCAATGCAAATAAAGATAAACGAATGCAGTAAAAACGTTTGTAAAGTTCAGATGGGTGGAGATTAGGCTTAGGGCGTTTCTCAGGAAATCAATGCATGCAGATCAATCGATAAATCAGGGTTCAGGTTTAAGCACGGTTCTTGAACTCGAATCACAGAATTATAATTAACCAACTTCCGTTGTGAGAATTATCTAAGTTAAAATCCTAGAATTCCAAATTCCTTTGCAAACCCTAAAGATTTAAACCAGCTTTAATGCTCAAGTTCGATATGTTCACAAAGTATCTAAACCAAATTCCTTTGCAAATAGCTACTTTGCTCACCCTAGGTTCTTTCCAGTTATTCAATTACACTTCCGTGTCAATCAATTAACCTAAGATCTAAGTTCTAGGTGGCCAGTCCAGAATTAGCTTTAAGAACAACTTATGGTGAAGAACTAAATAGATTATGAACCCTAATTAATCAATCAATCCAACATCCAATGAAATCCTTTATGAGAACCCTAAACCTAACAAGCAAACTACTCAGACATGGAGATTGAAGCAATAAACATGATTGAATAGCTTGCAGAAAAGAAATAATAGATAAATAAACAGGGGTTCGAAATCTTCTCTCTCCGGAACAGAGTTTCAGACTTGTCTCCCCAAAAGCTCTCAAAAACAAAAGTTCTCTCTCAGAAAATCTAAGGTAATCGTAAAAAGGGAATAAAAACCCTATATATATATCTCTAAGACACGTTTTGGGCTTCCTTGGAAACGTTTAGGCCCAACTCTTTCTTCAAATAGGAAACAAAATCGCTTTTTCCTTATTTTTTGACAAGTGTCGCACGTCACTCTCCATGGTGTCGAGCGTCACTAAAGCACAAAATCCATTCTTGACGAATTTGATCCTGATTAAGCTCCAAAGTGCTCCAAAGTCTCCAGTTAAGCTCCAAACGTACCTATGACCTGAAAAGACCCCAAAAGACTCAAAAGACACTAAAAAGACTCTATAAATAAGACATATACCATGGTCAAAAACCATAAAAACCATGATATATCAGATATAACATATATCATCTCGTTTTTTTTTTTTTTTTTCTTTTTGTAAAGAATATCACTTGATCTATGTACCCAAGTATATTTAAGAAATTGGAAAAATAAGGATATTTTATAAGAAAATCATTAAATTGTATAAAGAATATAAAGTGCTATTAAAAATGTGATTTAAAAAAAAAGAAAAGTACGCATGATCCTTCTATACTTATATTCCTAGCTCTTGAGAAATGAGTTATTTGAGTTTGGAGACACACGTTCAGGGGACGGTACTCGGCTCTTTGAAAGAGTATTAAGCTTGAATGGATTGCATGAGCCACAGAACCTTAAGTGTCGGAGGCTTATCCGCTTATGTGAATCAAGTTCATGTCCACACAATGAGACGATACGGTCAAATATGTCCTATGTTCTTGGACCAGTTGCATACAATTTAATTATCCTCTTGTCAATATTAGATTAGAGATACAACAGTTTTGTCTTCCATAGAGAGAGCTTCTTCATCATCGACGAAAAGAAGAACAAAAGCCCATACATATCCCAGTTGAAAACGAGAAGAAAAGCCCACACAGAAAATTAAAGATACGTGATTACCTAACTGCAAAAGACAAAGGTATGTGACCACCTCGGTAACTGCAGAAGACAGTTAAAGGTTGTTGAGTTGAGCCGCCAAAACAGAATACTTAGAGCAAAAACAGAAGAAGAAGGTATGTGACCAGCTAGGTAACTGCAGAAGACAAATAAAGGTTGTTGAGTTGAGCCGCCAAAACAGAATACTCTCAGTGTAAAAACAGAAGAAGAAGGTACGTACGTGTTCTGTTTCGTATTAAGATTAAAAAAAAAATAGAGCAATGAGTTCACAAAGGCATGTGTCAGAGTGTGATTAGTAGATTTAGATCTAAGCTTTAAAAGTGAAAAACAACTAGCATTTAGCAACAAAAATAAAAGCAACTAGCTAGTAGAAAACTGAGAGTGGCAATGGATGCTGATATATACTTCCTCATCAACCTCTCATTTACACTATTATTCATTGAATAAGATTAATAAAATATGATCTTTTAATTTAATAGTTTGGATTTTTTTAAATATACGTTGCATTAATTATCAAAAATTTGTTACTAATATATCTTAAATGTAATTTTATATATTATCTATGTTTTTTAACATTTTAAGTGTTTTTTATAAATTTAAATTCGTGTAATTTTATGCTAAATTGTGTTATTTAAAAATATAATATTTTGTTAACATTATTAATATTTGTGAGTGTATTAATTTTACTATTATAGTTAATATAAATAAATATACTAAATTAAGATGTAATCTAAGATGTAATTAATATAATTAAATATATTTAAGATAATATTTACTTTAATATATTTTATAAAATAAAAACAAAAGATTTTTTACTTTAAGATAATATTTAGAGACATTACACTTAAATGCATTTTTTAAACACATATTACAATAAAATACACTTCTAGCTATTATGATATTTTTTTGTTTTTTTTAATTTCATACCAAAATAATCCAAAATTGTCTCATGTGTTCACGATAACGTTGGATGCGAACTAGCATAGATTAAACTCAGATTTTAAAAACAGTAATTTTTCTCATCTATTTTTTGTATTTTTTAATATTGTGAAAGATAAATAAAAACAGTTTTTTGTTATAATGAAATATAATTTTATTTTCTCATATTTTAAGACACATTATACTATAATTTATTTATTAAATAAGAAATTTTTCGAAAATCATTTATATAAAATTCAAAAAAAAAATCACAAGTTTAGTTAGATATCCATTCACAAAATAAAATATGGATGATATATGATGGACATAAAACATGGACATGATGGCATGAATTAATTTTAATTGATATATTTGACGTGGATATATATTTTACATTGTCCACGATATAGATATAATTGTGTGGATATGTTGTTATTGATATATTCGACATGGATATACATTTTACATTGTCCATAATAGGACATGATCATATGAATTATTTTGATGTTAAATTTGAAAAAAAAAAATTATAATAATTAAAAGTGCTTTTTTGTAAGAATAAGTAGAAAAATATATTTTTGAGTGTAAATCACTCTAATATTTAACTTAAGTTTTCAATATTAATTACACTGAAATTAAAATTTGTACAACATTAATAATATTATATAGATGAGATATATTAGTGGATACTTTATCAAAAAAGGCAAAAATTTATGATAGGGTTCTCAAAAAAAACGAATTCTTAAAATATTAGTACTTCCTTCATTCTGATTTTATATGATACTTTATCATTGTACACAGATTAAGAAATCTTTAATTTAATTTTTTTCTATACTAAAACTTTAATTTTTATCATTTTCAATATAATGCAACTAATTCAAAAAAATAATATGCAAAATATAAAAATCTGTAAAACACCATTTAGATAAGAACGGATGAAATATTATATTTATGAGATATCCTTAAGATATCTTAATAGAAATGCTCTTACAAATAAAAACAAACCAGTGGTCAAATGTCTTTGGAAATGTCTCTGTTCTTTGACGACAACAAAAATTGTCTCTTAA